ACCACCACAGAAGTAGATTGTCCAACCTTCTTCTGAGGAGTGCCTGGTGGGTTTGAACCGCCAGCCTTCTGGTTAGCAGTCAACTGCCTTAGGCACTATGCCACCAGAGCTCCCTAAGAATAAGAAGAAAGGAAATTACAGTCCAGTATTACCTTACAAACATAAGAGCAAAAATCCTAGATGAAATTATTGTTATTGTTATATGCCCCAACTCATAGCGACCTCTCCTTGCCCAACCTTCCTTCTGAGGAGTGGCTTGTGGGTTTGAACCACCAGCCTTCTGGTTAGCAGTCAAGTGCCTTAGGCACTATGCTACCAGAGCTCCCAAATGAAATAATAGCAGATTCAAATCCAGTAATGTATAAAAAATTGTTACAATCAAAAACAGATTAAGGAATACAAAGCTAGTTTAACATCAAAATATCTGCATTTTAATTCACTACAGAAGACAGTGAAAAAATCCACACTATTACCTCCAAAGATGCAAAAATGAAACATTCAGTAAAATTCAACGTAATTATATGTATTTTGAAACTAATAATTATGCCTAGTAGAGAACTTCCTTAACCTAAAAAAGGGTATTTCCCTACTGTGCTTTTCAGACCTGCATTTCTGATATGGTTTGGTGGCTGCTGGTGTTAGGTGCTGTCAACTCAGCTCCCACTCACAGCTGACCCTATATGTAACAGAATGAAATGTTGCCCAGTCCTGTGGCTGGGGTATGTTAATCCCAGCACCTCAAAAGAAAGTTGTGTTGGTCAGCTAAATTTGGAAAAAGCATATAAAAGGCTCTGAAAAGTTATAAAATCAAACCTACTGCCATAGAGTGGATTCTAACTCATAGTGACCCTTTTAGGACAGAGTAGAACTGCCCCATAGGGTTTCCAAGCTATAAATCTTTACGGAAGCAGACTGCCTCATCTTTCTCTCACAAAGCAGCTGGTGGGTTTGAACTGCTGGACTTTTTGGTTAGTAGCCAAATGCTTTAACCACGGTGCCACCAGAACTCCTTATCACAATGAATATCTAAGGGTAATCTCAAAGTACACTCTGCATGTATTTACCAAGAATCTAAACACAAAATTGCCTACTTAATTCACTAACAATAGGAGAGGGATCATCTAAACTAATTAGATGTGCCACACAAAAACATATGCATAAAGAGCACACACAATTTGGACAGAGAAAAATGGAAGTACTGAAAAATTGACAGGTGACAACCAAGTTTTCATTAGGGAATTATCACAAAGACAGTCTTCCTAACTGTAATCTATGTAAGTGAGTCAGTCATCTGACAGGTTGGTCAGTGGCTATTTTGCCAGAGTCTGTATTGCAGCTTCAGTCCTCTGGCTGCCTCAACCAGCCAACCAGGCACTTGAATCTTTAACTGAGGCAGAAGTCCCCTCTCCAGTACCTCAGAGGAAGTAGTTACCACATATCCTCCTTGAAATCTGCTTCAAGCCGGATTTGTTCTTAAGAACCACCTACAAATAAAACTAAAGACGAATTATCAAAAGGAGCTTCCTGGACATCTCCTGAAGCCAGAAGTTGATCTGTCAAATCAAAGCAATCATGCGGTATTCCTCCTCCTCTAAGGAAAAGAGTAGCGGGATTTGAATGTTAGGGGGCAGCCACAGGACTTCATAAGAAGTCAGCCTGCTGGCAGGCAGATGTTGAGTTAGAGCAGAGCTGCGAACAGCAGCCAGTGAAAATGTGACACAAACAGGTCTAAGTCATTCCCTTGCACAGTACCAGCAGTGCACTCCACTGGCAGAGCAGTTGTTGCTGCTACGGCTCTCTGACATGCAGGATAAGCACGAAACACTGGATCTAACTGGAGACTAGAGCATCCCACAGGCCTCTGATGACCCCCATGCTTCTGGGTGCAAACACCACACGCACTTCCACTTTGTTCTTTCACACAGAGTGAGCATCTCAATGCACAATTTGGGAACTCTAAAGCAAAAGTGACTAGAAGCGCTTTTTTCAGAACAGGTACAGCCTCTTATCCCTTCTTCAGAAAGGGAAAAAGGGGTAGTTCCTTTTTAAAGTAAGGATATAATGGTTGAGCGAACAATGAAAAAATTAGAATCCAATTGCGACAATATCAACAAAGACCTAAAAAGCTTGGGTTCTTTTGTATAGATAAAATAAAGGTTAATATTGCTTCTTCCCACTTGGGGTCTACAGAAATACCTTCAGCTGCAATAACATGTCCTGAATATTTTACAGCAGTCTGGGCAAATTGCAGTTTTTCTTTCAAGGTCTTGTGCCGCCTGCTGGCTAGATACTGTAACAACAGGATGCTATCTTCCAACATTATTTTGCATGGAACTGGAACCAACCAAAAGGTCACCTATGTATTACAGTAATACTGATCCACATTTAAAACTGAAATAGGACCAAATCTAATGTAATGCCTGTGAAAAGTAAGCAGGGCTTTGAGTCAAACCTTGTGGTAAGACCCCCCCCAGGAATGTTGATTTTTCCAGGTAAAAGAAAATAGAAATTGCTTTTCATGAACAAGGATGCTAAAGAAAGCACTACAGAGATTATGACTTGGTACGTGGGCTAAATATAAATGAGGATTAGGGACCACAAGGAACCTAGTTATGGTCATCTTATTTATAGCCCTTAAATCTTGCACAAATCTCCATCCTCTCTTACTTGATTTCTTTACAGGAAAAACAGGAGTCTTACAAGGACTGGTGCACGGTATAACTAAGCCCTGATGAAGAAAACCTTGAATAATACGTTCTAACCCTGCTCTAACTCTGGCTTTGACTGATATTGGGCTACTCTAGGAAAAGTTGTAAAGAATCTGTTTTTACATTAACCAAACATTCCCCATATTTCTTTGGTGAGATTCTCACTGATAATATAAATTAGCATTTGAAGAGCACCTGTCACCAGGGTGGGATAAGAAGTATGGTCCCAGTTCTTCAAAGCTTTGAAAGCTGCTGGATTTCTCAGTTGTTGCTGAAGCCACAGTTGTGAGGCTAGAGGTTTGGGAAGGGAACAGAGGCAGAAGTGACTAGTATATATGAGAACAAATATGAAGCATAACTTTGTTCCTCCAATTCTGAGACAAACATCTTGAAAGATATCAGACAACAGGATGGGGGGTGAAAGCCCTGTGGGGCAGTACAGCTGGCAGGTGCTTTACAGAGATGGGGACAGTGGGGAGGGACAGGGAAGATCAAGTTACAGCCTGTCTAGAGTAACTGCTGAGGTGGTTACCCTAAGCTGGACAGTGATCATGAAAGTGTAAACTGTGTGTGGATGGAGTAGGAGTAGGGGGCTGGTGATAGGGTGTTCAAGGGTTGGGGTAGGTGCTGGTACTGGTCCTAAAAGCTTGAGGACAAAAGAAAACTTCCATTGCAGGTCTAAACATCTGTTACTTTCCCTGCCAAATTGTAGGCCCTTCCAGGACCAGGACAGTATCTGCTCACCTTGTCTCCAATGAAACCCAGCTGAGTATATAAGGGAAAAGGATAAGAAGGAGCCAACAATGTGCTTTCCTTAGCCTGAAAGCAGGAGTTGAAAACAGCTTCTTCAAAAATGAAAATGAAAATGAACCATTTTATTTGGATGGCTAGAAGAGCGGCTTCCGTGATCTATTCTGACTATCCAGTCTCCCACCAGGATAAAGTTCGATTATCCAAAAAGAACAGAAATGCTTGGGGATTGGGAGCATCCCTTAATTCCATTATCATTCTGTGAGGAAACTAGCTGAATAAATATGATCCTAAAGCTATAATCTGAAGATGAAATAAAGAGTAAATGGAGGGTCTCTAGAATCGAGATGGCCGTTGTGTATGATGGGACTCCCAAGACATCGGGATTTCCCTACACAATCTATGAAAGAACCTGTGAGAGAGGGCTGGGTGTTTTTCCTGCCTGGCTAGTCTGGTGTACGTAGGACTCGCATTATACAGATTTAGGTTTGAACCCCATTTAGGATATGTCACTTCAGCCAGCTGACCTGTTTACATCTGTGAAGAAGACAGAATGAGATCACAGATAATCAGAGTTTTGTAAACTGTCAAATATACACAATATAAATTGCTAGTGTTGAATTATTTAGAAATGCATTTTAAGAATGCACCAGATATGTGAGAATTGGTTATGGTGGATGACCACACCTTGCCTCTCACTGATTAGCTCCTGACTTTGAGAAAGCACTGGTGGGCAGACCCCTATCCCACACATCCAAGACAACCAGCTGAAATCAAGTTTAGGCAGTCAGGGTGAAAGGGCCCTACCCCCACAGCTAGCTTCTCTGGGCACTAGTTTAATGGAAAGGAATAGCAGTTAACTGAAAAGACACACACAAGCATACTAGGACATAATACACAATACAATCATCCAGCTAACAGGACAAGGGGCATAATCCCCAAGCATCTTTTTTGGTTAAAGCAATGACAAAACACAGAAGCGTGGCTCAGTCGCCATTTTTGTGAATGTTGGGGAGCAGTTCCTTCTGCTGAGCTTCAAATCCCATACTCCAGATTCTAGCACATTCTTTCTCTTCAAGGCAATCTGAGACAGCAAACACCTTCAAAGTTCACTGCATCTGACAACCTACAATATGACCAACTGTTAAAGCAGAAATTTATTAAAATCCATATATAGTGTTTACACACAAAAAAAATGTAGAGTCCTCAACATTCAGGCAATCAAACTCTATTCTCAGAAGTACTCTGTGAGAAGACAGAATTCTTCGCCCTCCTCTCAATAAGACACTTCCGTTTATACCCCTGAAAATGATGCATTTAATTCCGTCACCTCTCATAAGAAACAATCCCTCTGACATCTAAGACAGCCCCTAAGACCTCTGCAGAGAATGAAGAGATGCCAGCAGAGAACCTTCTCCCAAACGTGATGCCTACATCACAGAGGTGTAGTGCGAGAGATACATGAAATGGTGGCTATTTCGGAGGAGCACGTGTACACCCAGCTGGACAACCAGGACAAGAGCCTGTGTGCACAGCCGCGCACCCCTAGCTGCGCAGTGTTGCCAGTCGGGACTGCATGGCCTCCAGGGCCTCCTCCTCCTCCTCCTCCTCCTCCTCCTCGTCTGAGGCAGCCATTGCTCCTGGAGGTTCAGGTTCTGGAAGGGCGTCGGTGACTTTACTGGGTGCTTTGCCCAAGGCTCCTGAAGAGAAACAGCAAACAGATTAACCAAACATTGGCTCTAAGGAAGCGGCTCCTCATCCTCCCTGCCTTTTACAACTGGACCAATCTGACAAGAAAAAGAAAAGGGACTGTTTTGGTGGAGTTCTGCTCACTCTGACAAATGTGCAAATACTGGCTTGAGATGATACCAAAGTCATAATAATTGTAATGATTTTCATTTTAAGAATCTTGGTTTTGAAACTCTGAGTCTAGATTCTTAAACACTACTAAAAACTTAATTTTCAAGATTCATGAAGATGTTAAATCTTTTGAGTGAAACCAAATGGTTTCTAAATCTTCATTTTTCCTGAAGTAACTACTATTCTTCTTTCCTCCAACAATTTGTTATCGTCATTAGCTGCTTTTGAGTTGATTCCAACCGATGGCAACCCTGTGTGCACAGAGAGTAAAGCTATGCTTCACAGGGTTTTCAAGGCTGTCACCTTTCAGAAGCACATGCCAGGCATGTCCTCTGAGGCGCCTTTAGGGGGGTTCCCACTGCCAACCTTTCCAGCCAGTGGGTGTGCACCTGACTGTGCCACCCAGGGTCCCCTCCCCAACAACTTAAACAAATGATATTAATCCCACCAACAATATTTTTATTAAACATAACACTCAGAAATCCAAAAGTAGAAACAAAGTTTCAAAACTCATTAACCATCACTCAGCGATAACTACTGTTGTTGTGTTGTTATGTGCCATTGAGTATGATCCAACTCCTTGGGTTTCTAAGGCGGTATCACTACAGAAGTAGATTGCCCAACCTTCCTTCTGAGGAGTGGCTGGTGGGATTGAACCGCCAGCCTTCTGGTTAGCAGTCAAGTGCCTTAGGCACTATGCTACCAGAGCTCCTAAGAGATAACTACTACTGCAATTTTATTTATGGCCCCTTCCAGACTTTTTCCCTAGATATGTTAGACATATTTTATTTTTTTGATGTTTTTTTTAGTGGAAAGATGTAGATTTCTGCAAAATATATGGTGAACATCCTTCCATATCAATAAATGTATTTCCATGTCCTTTCTCACAGCTGTACAGTATTGTGATGGTTAACTTTATGTGTCAACTTGGCTGGCTATGGTTCTCAGTGAATTGGCCAAATACTAGACCAGACACTGTTTCACAATACAGTCTATTGTAATCACCTGCCACAATGCAATCTAATGTAATCAGTGTCAGTCAGTTGAAAAGGGAGTTTCCTTAGGGTATGTTTTGCCTTCAGACTATAAACAGGAATTTTGGCAGAAGTCCCCCTTCTTCTCCACTCTGCACTCTTTTCTGCAGCCTGACCTATGGCTCTTAGAATGCAAGCCTGCAGAAGTCTTCAGCCTGCCAGCTCATCTATGGATTCTGGACTTGTCAACCCCTCACAATTCCATGAGCCAGTAGGAGTCTCCAGCCTGCTGCCTGACCTATATACTTTAGAACTTAGCAGCCCCACAATCCTGTAAGCCAATCGAAGGAAGGAAGGAAGGGAGAGAGGGAGGAAGAAAAGGAGGGAAGGAGAGAGGAAGGACCAGGTTTGCTGATCTGATAGAGCCTGATGGAACCACTCAGACTATGATCCCTAGCTGCCCTTCAGGTCTGAAATGGAACCCACTCTTGTGGCTTCCAGCCAAACAAAAGCATACCAGCTGAACATTTACCTGAGGTAGATACACTCCTTGGAGAGATCAATCATGGGAGAAAGAAAGGCTGTTCATGCACAGGGAGACAGCTCAGAGGGCAGAAGTGCATGGAGGGATGGACACAGGGAAGAGGTGACTATCAGGAGGAAGTGGGAGGGGAGCTGTTGCATTGGGGTAAATTGTAATCAATGTCATGAAACAAAGTGTATGTGAACTGCTGTATGGAAAGTGAATTCGCTCTGTAAACTTTCACCCAAATCACAATAAAAAAAAAAATGGTTACAGATATTATGCTTATTTTTAAAGAAATAACCTGTATAATCTAAAATAAAAATGTATGACTAACTATGGCAGGTACATTTAAAAAAAAGCTGCCAGACGATGCTGCCAGATGCAGATGGAATGGCCATGAGAGGAGGCGGGAGGACGTGTCTCACCTGCTGTGATTTCAAACAGAATCTTGTCAATTTCCATTTCCGCTTCTTCTTCCATTTCTTCCTGATCGTCCATACTTTCAAAAGTATCTTCTAACATCTCTTCTATGATCCCAGCCTAAATACAGAATGAATGATGTCACTTCCCCCATGTGTTAAATCCATACAGAAAAGATACCTCTAAGGGATCAGCACTGACCAAGCTCTAGTATCTTGCTCCATGTTCATTCCATCTTTTCAGGGTTAACACCCAAGGCAGCTGGGCCACAGGAAACACTGGAATCTGTCCTCTCTGCACAGGGGCAAATGCCCAAAGGGAAATGGCTCTCCAAATTTTGCACCAAGGATTGGGAGGGCCACTACTGGCTAGTACCAGAGCTTCTCAATGTAACACAGCCTATAATGGTAGCACCTGGGGAAGTTGCTGACGGATGAACATATGCCCTAAGCTTTCTTGGAAAGCAACTCCCCTAATGTTGCAAATATAATGTGTGAATGCAGGAATTGAAACATGGTTTGAAAGGTGGTTGAAGTCATAGTAGACACTGTGAACAAATGCCATGGGCAGGATTGGGCCCTGTGGAATCCTAAGAAAAGCCTGAAGAGGACTCTAGCTACTGGCAGCCACCAGGACTGACATCAGGAATCAGGCCTTGGTTAAATCCAAAAGCCAGGCTGTCATCTTAGAACTCTCTGATAAACCTGCTGATTACTAAGGTAGTTTCTCAGGTACCTTGACGTGGGGAAAGGAGTGCTTAGGGTCAATCCAGTGGGTTTGGCAAGGACCAATGAATTCACCAAAGCCTGATCATCCATTCCTGGATGAACTGGTAAGACAGTATTTCTGTACTCACCAAGGTAACGGTCACTCTGTAGGAAGCTGTGTGCCTGGTGGCCTACAGTCGCCAGCCAGCCAGCCAGCCTCCTTTGTTCTCAAGGCAGCACGGCACCACTGAGGGGCATGAAATGTCTGCTCTCTAGCACAGCCCAACACAACCAGGCCCTGTGATCTTCCCTGCTTAGCAGTATCATCCTCAGCTCTGACAAGGCCCTACTGACTGTTTAGTGTTTGGTTCTTTCTGAAGTAAAGGAACAGGACTGCACCAACCAATGCCAAAAAGAGGGCTACTCACCTCCCTGGGCAGAGAGGCAGGAAGGGGCTGCTGAGTGGCTCTGGTCAAGGGGAGAGGGAAAGCATGGGTTCAGGCCAGGAGAAGAAAGTCTTGATTGCTTTGCAACCAGTAAGAACTTAGCCTCTTGGTTTGTACTGGGAGGTATTGGTGAGTCAGGAGCAGAAGGCACGAGCAGAAGGGCTCCTGCCCTTGCTCCCCTGCATGGTGCTGGGGTACAGCTCTCCCTGGCTATCCTGCCTGCCTTTCTGCTCCCAGACCACTGAAGTGACATGCATCTAGCTAGTGCTATATTCTGCCCATCTCAGAACACTTTCCTCCCAACCCTGAACATGGACAAGTAAATTCACATGCATGGACAGCCAAGTAGAGCCCTTAGGTCTGGCTGAATGGAAGACTCAGTGCTGGGGGCTATTGTAAAAGAGGTTCAATAAACACTTGCTAATGAGTCGGGGCCGACTCGACGGCACATAACAACAACAACAACAACAACAAATTGGTTGAAAGTAGCCTATGAGAATCCTGATAGTTAATAGGCCTCCACATCTTGGAACAAGAAGTTGTCATTCATTTTTTTTTATTAATTCAATCAGCAACCATTCATCAAACACCTCCTCTGTGCCAGGCTCTGGGGAAAAATGTGCACAAGGAGCTGGGCCCCCTTGAGAGGTTTCAATATATACCTGGAGATGCATCATGAGATGCATCTGATAAATATTATCTATCACATACATGCACACCTTCTAAATCTATATTACTTTCAGTATTTAAAAGTACCATTGTAAAAAAGGGAGCTCTGGTGGCGTAGTGCCTAAGACATTTGACTGCTAACCAGAAGGCTGGCGGTTCAAACCCACCAGCCACTCCTTGGAAGTAAGGTTGGGCAATCTACTTCCGTAGTGATACCACCTCAGAAACCCAAGGTGGGGTCACTATGAGTCAAAATCGACTGACAGCAGTGCAAACTGTGAAAAAAGGCCTCGATTGTAATAAAGGCTTCCCTTCAAATCCTGGTGGGTCCATGAGGTAGTATGAGTGGGCCTGAAGTCCTAATTATCCAGCTCTAGAGGACAGGCAATCACCAACTTGGGGGATGAGAAACCCAGACATCACATTTAAGGGGCAAAGACCCTTTTAACCTGGTTCCCTCACTACTACCACACAAGGACTTCTCATCCCAAAGACCTGGCTGGGCCTTGGCTTCTGAATGCTGATTTTCTTTGCCATCAATGTCTTCTCTAGCCCCTCTCCCTCATAAACTCTCCCCATACATAATTCAAGCTCATAAATGGAATTCCAACTGGGAAGGGAGGCAATCTCTGTGCACAAACTATATACAAAAATCTGAAGTGTGTAGTCTTGCTTCTCAGGCCACAGGTTTAAAGCAGGAAAGAGCACCCTTACAGGGCATGTCCTACTGCTATTTCCTCTGCAGCAGCACAGAGAGGAGGTCAGATATCTCTGCTCCAACCCCAGGTCTATCACTCACTACCTCCGCAATCACAGACAAGCTAGGTGGCAGCTCTAAGACTCAGTTTCCTTTATTTATTTATTTATTTTTTATTAGGATTTGGGTGAAGATTTACAGAGTAAATTCACTTTTCATACAGCAGTTCACATATACTTTGTCTCATGTCATTGACCAAAATTTACAATGCAGCAGCTCCCCTCCCACTTCCTCCCCATAGTTACCTCCTCCCAGTGTCCATCCCTTCATACTCTTCTGCACCCTGAGCTGTCTCCCTGTGCATAAGCAGCCCTTCCTTCTCCCATGATTGTTCTCTCCAGGGCATGTGTCTACTTGAGGTAAATGTTTAACTCACATGCCTGTACTTTGTTTGGCTGGAAACCACAGTTGTGGGTGCAATTCCAGACCTGCAGGGCAACTAGGGGCCATAGTCTCAGTGGTTACACCAGGCTCCATTGGACCAGCAAACCTGGTCCCCACCTTCTTTTTTTTTTGCCTCCAAATGATTTTGAGTTTTGTTCCACATTGTTCTCCCTCTTTATGCAGGATCTCCTACATCCCTTCCAAGTGGATGGCAGTGGTAGCTGGGCACCATCTAGTTCTTCTGTCTCATGGTTGTATAGGTTGCAGATCAGATGGTGTACCAGTCGCTAGGACTGATTGTTTCCATTAATTTTGGTTTTCTTCTTTCTTCTTGACGAGGAGAGACCTGTTGTTGCATCTAGATGGCAGCTTCCTAGCTTTTAAGGTCCCAGTTGCTACTCGCCAAAGTAGTAGGTGGAACAATGTTTTGTATAGTATGTTATGCCAATTGAGCTTGATGTCCCCTGCGACTATGGTCCCAAGCCCGCAGGATCAACTACTCAGTCCCTCTGGGTAGCTGGCTGTGACCAAGTAATGACCATAACCTTGCCCCTTGTCAGCTCTACTATACACCTGGGAATTCTGATCATTCACATGAACTTATAGGCCCATTGTCTGCCAACCCTATACATGATCTTGGATACACTCTCCATTTAGACATACCTAATTGTTTAGCTTGTTCACCCATCTATCCATCCCTATACCCATGTTTGCTTTCACTGACAACTCAGTACTGTATATGCAAAAGGGTTCATATTTGTTGTCTGTACTGCCCATGTAACTCTCTATGTCTTTCTCATCCTCAATGCTGCCATATTGGTCACTCACATTTGGTACATTGGCCTTCTCTTCACCCAAATCAATATTTATCTCTATCTATCTAACAGCATTCCCTCCCCTCCCCTCCCACCCCTGGAAACCAACAAAGAAAATGTCCTCCAATATATAAACCTTTCCTTAACTTTTACAATAACGGTCAGTTTCCTTTAAAATGGGGTTCAGACTATCTAGGTCCCAGGGTTGCTGGAAGGCCTCAGTAGGATAGTGTGTGCAAAGCATCATGAGCCACTGGGGACAGGAGCTCAACAACGATGCCCTGTGGCCTGTTCCTGTCCAAGGACCACCAGTGCAGGCCTTGATCCTGGGGTGGAAGGTATTTGTGTATTTTCTATTTTGTTTTTAGCCTCCCCCATTTTTCAGTCTAGAAGAGGAGTCAGCAAACTGTGGCCTATGGGCCAAATCTGGTCTGATACCTATTTTTTCAATTGAGTTTTACTGGCACACAGCCATACACATTTGTCTACATATCACCTATACCAAAAAACCAAATTCCCTGCCGTTGAGTCGGATCTGACTCATAGTGACCCCTCCTTGGGTTTCCGAGGTGGTATCACTACGGAAGTAGATTACCCAACCTTCCCTGCGAGGAGTGGCTGGTGGGTTTGAACCACCAACCTTCTGGTTAGTAGTCAAATGCCTTAGGCATTATGCCACCAGAGCTCCTATAGCTGCTTTCAAACTACAAAATACTTAGAACAGAGATACATGGTCCACAAAAAATAACATGTATTTATTATCTAGTCATTTATAGAAAAAGTTTGCCAATTTTGGGTTTAGAACCACCTCCCTTGCTAGGTTCCCTATAATCCCTTTGGAGCAGCCAGAGGAAGTGGTTTCATTCTGCCTCCTTGCTCAGGATGGAGTATGCAAGCTCTACCTCCCTAAACTCCAGAAGGTTGTTCCCTGGATCCCTTACCTCCCCTAAAGCTCTGGGTATGTTTTTCTTGCTTCTTCTAAGGAGCAACCTGGCAATCTAAGCCAGCCTCTGCCATACTCAGCTCAAATGGTTTCAATCAGTGTTCACAGATGCTCAGAATACTTCCTAGTAGCATTGGTCTGTCCACTCCCACCCATACTCATCCCTAACCCCCAGCCATGTGCTGAGAGTGACTCTGTGCTTTAGAAAGGGAAGCAGGGCTACCCTAGGTCACCTTCATCATCTCCTTGGACAGCTCCCTCATGGTGGCCTGGATTTCTGGGATCTTCACAAGACTCTGCATGGCTTTCATCACCTCTGTGCTCTTCTGCAGGGAGCCAGCCACTCGCAGAACCGCTGAAAGGGAAAGAGTGGAATCAAGATTACACAGCAGAACGTAAAAAGGATGGAATAAAGCAGTAGAGTGCCAAATGATGACCTATTCCAATAAAAGGGAGCTGTAGTAGGGACTCCTTAAGTTATTTATGTACCTTTAGGATACAATAATGTGCTCATTGACCTAGAGACCGACTTTTCTAAATTGTATGCTACCTTTACTAGTGGTGCAAATTCTCTGAGCAAACACACTAACTGGCTGAACTCAGGTCAGGAATGGCCTGAAGACTTATGGCTGATTTTTAGGGAAAAGTGTCAGCTTCAAATGACTGTGACACTGTGACATCCAGGACAAATCACAAATGGTAGGATCTGGTAAGGGCCACACTGGAAAACGGAAGGCTTTAGACTATCCACGTCATGCTCCCCATATGCAAGCCTATGAGTAGTGGTTTTTCTGTGGTCCTCAGCAAAATGAAAGAAATCAGAATAAGGTAGAGCAAATCCCTGTGTGCCTGCTCAAGGTGGTTAATGGTTCCTCACTAGGGAAAGATGGTAATCTAAGATCATGCCTTTATATGAAATTATGGCAGCAAATGATACTTTCCCCCCAACATCCTTAACATGTCAAAGTAAAGAGTTGGCAACCTTTCAAATCTGTTTTGAAATTTCATGAGACTTAAAGTTCTGAAAGTAAGGAGCTTTGGTGGTGTAGTGGTTACACTGGGCTGCTAACCAAAAGGTCATTGGTTCGAACCCACTACCCACTCTATGGGAGAAAGATGAGGCAGTCTGCTTCTGTAAAGATTTACAGCCTTGCAAACCCTATGGGGCAATTCTACTCTATCCTGTCAGATTGCTATGAGTTGGAATCAACTTGATGGCAGTGGGTTTTGTTATTTATTTATTTTTTAATGCATTTTATTGAAATATAATTTATGTACAGTGAAATACACAAAACTAAAGTGACATGGGTCAATGCATTTTTTTTTTTTTTTTAATGTTCCCTCCCCTCCCACCCCTGGCAACCAACAAAGGAAGTTTCCCTCCATATATAAACTTTTCCTTGACCTTCTACAACAAAC